AATTAGATTATATACTTAGGGCTCGAGACGGAATTGAGAGGTTTGAGAGGTTCAAGTCCCCTGCTCCTATGGAATCTAGCTTCCTCCGTAAAACATTATTGAGGTCCAATCTCTCTCTTCCAACATGGACTTATATGACGCTTAATCTCTGATAAATCCCAACATCTCAATTAATTATCTTGTAAGCAAATTCACCTATATATGTCATCATGAATTTATGAGTATTATGTGAGTTCGAATCTAATAGTACCAAATAAATGTAATCGCTAAAAAATATATTTTCAAATATTTTTGTATTTTTGTTCTAGTTCTTGTTTTCTAATCACAGTTGATGTTAATATATTGCATTTAGAAATTCTGATGAGATTCCACAGTTTTGAGCATGCAACCTGCTATGAATGAATTAAAATCAAAGTGTATCTTAAAAGGGTATATCGTTCTTCAGTAATCAAGAAGAATGCCATGGGTCAAATGGGTAGTTTCCTAAATTGCTTTCTTTATAGTTTTCGTTTCTTCTTTGATGTTTCTTAACTGAGTTTACAACAACTAGTATTAGAGCTGCAGGATAAGGTTGCAATTATGGGAAAATAACTAGATGAGGAAGCTCTCTTAAGTTCGAGATTCCACGTTTCGATGGTAAAGGAAACTTTGGTCCCTGGCAACAACGAGTGAAGAAACAGTTGACGTAGTAGGCTATTAAATTAAAGACGATATTAACTGAAAAGCAAGAAACACATGATGATTAGGATGAGATACATGATAAGACAGTTTAGACAATTCGTTTGTGTTTGTCACGCAAGATTACTCATCAGGTAATAGATCTTAAAACTTTGAAACAAATGTGGAATAAGTTGGATACATTATATATGTCAAAATTGTTGTCTACAAATTGTATCTGACACATATTTATAACGGTTAAAGATGCTTGATGGAGATTATCTTGAACACAGTTTCGACCATCCAACTTTTATAATTAATGATTTAAAATCTAAGTGTCCTGCAATTGGGCCCTTCTCCAGGGAGCAGGATGAATGCCATGGACTAAGGCATTCCTATCGCGACGATATATCTTAGGAAATATAATTAGTCCTTATTTTCTTTGGCTACTTGTATCGAGTTTTGAGACTTATATATATGGGTTATTAGGGTTTGTAATTGTTCAGTCATACAATTAATAATAAACCGTAGACAAAAGGCTATTCGTCTCAAGTGACTCTCAATTGTTTTCCCTATATTTTTCGCTTTTGTTTTTCGTCGAAATTACAAAATAATTTTGTTGCACTGTTAGTTAGTAGGAGAACTAAAAAAAAACCCTAATCTAAGCAATTGAAATCGAATGGTTCCTCTGCTTCGCCATAGACTTATGTTGTGTTTTTTCCATATAATCATGCTATTTTTTCTTTTTATTACAGATCAAATTTAGCTCTTAAATTTTAATGTTGTCAAAAAAGCAACGTTATGTAAGAAAGTAGGTTAATTAGAAAGAGTGATTTTTTTCTTCGGAATCACAAACATAAGTGACTGGAAATATAATGGTTTAAGAAAAGGTCAGGGGTATAATTATTTTCAGTTTTTTTTAGTGCAATGGGAATCATATATTTTCTCATTGTTAGAAGGTGGAACCAGTTACTCCAACGTTACTGCATCAGCTGTCCATCTTACTTCTGCATTAGTACATACATGCTAATACTATCCAATTTATTTTAGTTTTCCATAGGATAAAAATGTTGGAAGTTTTAATCGCAACAATTATAATTCCTTTTTTAGGAAACTCTACAAGATGCGGATCTAATATCCACAGATTTTAATAGTACTTAAGGAGATAGGATAGTCAAATCCACCCAAAAGGTACAAAATAAGCTAGAATGTACAATGATTAAAACCGTGAACGCAGAAAAAGAGCCGGTGATCTCCATCTCATCCACAACTTCAGTTTCATGTTAAGACCTTATCTATTATTTTTTGTATGTTTACTTCAAATGTATGTCTTATCAATTGCAACCTTTGGTTTAACAATTGTAAACTTTTAAAGATGGTGCCTAAAAAAAAGTTTTTCAAGGTGGTCACAAAAGCTTTGTCCTCAACTTTTGCATATTATTAATCACTTTTAGATACTTTGAAATTCATTATAACTATTATACACCGTTATTTTGTTTTTCTCTTTCTTTCATGATACGTCTATCATATAATAAAATTCTAGTTCACATAGATTTTTATTTTTTTTAACAAAACGAAGGAAACTTAATAAGGCTTAAGTTACAAAAAAAAAAGTCTGCAAAAGAAATAAAACTAAATATGGCAATGAACCAAAATGTGCATAAGACGTAACGCGCGATAA